CTGCTGCTTGCTCTTCGACGCCGCCGCTCTGGAGGTCCTGGTTCTCGTTCTTGCTCTTGTGATTGCCCTTCGAGCTCTTGCCCAATTTCCTTCTGTTCCTGTTCTTCTTTTTCAAAAGCGTTGGGTTGGTGTTGGCGTCGTGGTTCGAGTCCACGATTGTATCCGGTGCGGTAGGGTCGGCAACGATGGAATTCTCGGCGAATTGTTCCATCCCCAGYGTTCCGTCAACCACCGTCGACGAGGATCCTCTGAGAGACATTACTTATTACCAAACAGAGGGATGAATTTGATGCTATACTAAGCTATTGTGCGTGGAGCGTGGTGCAATCCTTTCTTATTCTGACTGCCGAAGAAAGGTGTTGTGATCCGATTCGATGGGGTTGGATTGATTTCGTTTGGTTWGTGTCGTTTGCGTTTGTGCCAGTTGCCATGCCTTGACTACGGATTTTCTAGTTTTCTACTTGCAGCACAAAAATTACCGCCCTGCGTACATGAGTACGTAGTAGTTCGCATTACCATGCCATATGTACTACTCGGTCACAGCCATAGAGAATCCTCAAAATTTTTCCTCCACGAATACGGTCTTCTCAACACGACTCCAGAACAGAATCTCGTTCGTCGTATGTAACGATGCGAAACCTACGGTACTTGTACATGTGTCCTGGGTCATCCCTAGTTTAGAAGCTCATCGGTCAAAATCTGAAATGTACATATGTACTTACGTTCAAGTGCCTTAGTTGAAAGTAGGAGTAGTACTGTACGGAATACGTAGAAAATAATGTCCACGCGTACAATGTACCTCATGAGGAGGTACGACCGTACGTATCAATCCGTGTCGAAGCCAAGACTGTACCGTACAATTACGGTAGAGTTCAGAGTTTCTCCGTCCAATCCACTCTATCCACTCTACAGTACGAACGTACGTACCGGCGTCCTACTCTAGTTCATGTGACCCTGTTGAGGAGTGAGGTTATGCACTAGCTCGTACTCGGGATATGACATACCGGTAGGTATGAGTACGGGTACTTGTACGTACGTCACAACGCCAAATTCCATACGCTACGAGGGTGAGCCGGTGAGCCTGGATCCTCGAATGATGAAAAATGAAAAATGATGGATCAGGCATCAGGCATCAGGCAAGGATCAGATACGTACGTACACGTACTATCGTATGGTTGGTACGGTCCCTGCTATTCTGATCGAAGAAATTTTTGCAACCGCTGCATCTGTTTCTGTCATACCTATTCCCACCACCAAGTTCTGTTCCAATTCGGTGTTCCAACACGGGGAAGCACTGCGGTATCGTGGCGGCATCGAATACGCGAACCAACCCAGCCCGAGAATGGAATCGCATCTAGGACCGTCGCCGGTCCTCGGCTTGCTGGCTGGCCTGTCGCTGGTGGCAGCGGCATCGGCGGCCCTGCTGTTCGTCGTCGCCGTCCTGCTTCCGTGGGTGGTTTCCGTCGTTGCCGTGGCTTGGTTTGCGCCCCCCGCCCTACGTCATTCCGCCCTGTATACCGGTCGGGTCTGGCACACGCGGCTCCATCCAAAGAAACACGCGTTCACGGTACGTACTCTGCTGCAACGTGACACAGACGCGGTAGGCGTGGCGTGGAATGGAGTGAAGTGAAGTGAAGTGCCCTGTCGTTGCGCAACGCAACGCAATAGAGGACAAGCCGATTTCTATCCCCCTTCCTACCACTCTGTGCTGGTAGCTAACCATTCMAGATTTCGATTCTCATTGCATTTCGTGTGTTCATTTCCGTTCTGCTATGCTTTTCGACCAATAACTACTCGACRAAACACAAAAAACAATGCGATTCGACACCACAAACCCCGGCCTACGCACCGGTGACCGCTAAAAACAACATATGCAAAAACAMTGCGACACAACAATTGCGACAACAAAATTCGATGACACGCAACAACACCATCGCCACCGATGTAGTATCCTATTTTTATGTTTGCACTGGACCTGGAAGAACTCGATRGCTTCCGAGATTCGATCTGGCCTCTTTCGAGGTGGCTCGTTCAGTTCCGGGAACCGGACCACCTCAAAAACGGCGAAGGATTGCTAGAGGAAGAACAGACCGCAGACAAAGCATCCCGTCCCGAACGCAACGACGAAAGCGAAAGCGGGGCCCACAGCGACGATCCCAACACCCCGGCCAAGGACGCGATCGGGACCCGGCTGCTCCGCCTGGTGACCCAAAAGACCGAGGGAAAATTTCGACCCACTCTCTCGACACACAGGGTTGTGATCCTGACCCATCTCAGCTACTACGGGTACAACTTTAACCCCGTGTCCTTTTACTACATCGTCGACAAGGCGACGGAGGAGCTCTCGGCGGTGGTCGGAGAAGTCAGCAACACCCCCTGGACGGAAATGCACTGCTACGTGTTGCACCCGGATAGCACCGACAGGGTCCAGACCAAAGCGACGCACGCGGACGAGGKCAAGGCTGTGGGCAGCGCCACCACGGCGAAAAAACGACCACTGAAAAAAATCGAGTATTCCTTTCCGAAGGAATTCCATGTGTCTCCGTTYATGGAAATGGACTACTGGTACGACTGGACCTTTGCCGGGGTTCCGGGGCCGGAASTGCCACCCGGGGAGTCCCAGATCAYGGTGATCAACACGCTGCGGCGAAGGACCAACGACCGGATCGAATTCACCGCCAAGCTCGTGGTGGACCGCAACCCAATCACGCCCACGAGCGTGGTGTGGCAGATGGTCCGGCTCCCGATCTTTTGCTTCATCGTCCAGGTGTGGATCCACTACCAGGCCGCCCTCTTGTTCGCAAAGGGCATCGTGTACGTCCCCCACCCGGAGGGAACCGAAACCGCCGCCAGCACGGCCATTGCCACGATCATGGTCCCGTTTTTCGCGATCCGGGACCTCGTGTGCAGGCCACCACAGGAAGCCGAGAAGAGCAAGACGGCCTGAGGGAACAAAAAAGAGGTGCGACGGGAGGAGAAAAGGCGAATCCACTGTTCTATGGCCGTATCTAGATGGATGGATGGATAGATAGATGGAGTGTAGCTAAAATATTTCAGAGAATCGTTTTTCAGATTGTCAAGATAGTCCGTCCTGTGCAAACCTTTGTAGATACTCCACGTGCGCAATCTCTCCCTTCTGGTAGGGAATTTGATGACCATTCGTCCTCATAACCTAAGATTCCAATGCACTACCCCACACCACACCAAAGAATTATTTCCCTCGCACAAAGTTTCGGAGCCTGCTCCAGATCTCGGACTTGTCGCAGTCATTGTCCAATACAGCCTCTGGTGAAATTTCTGTTCGAGGACCAGGAACGTTGGAATTCACGGGCGCATGGAGTGGATCGGGGAAYAGAACAGCGTCCAATACAAGAATACAAATCCATTGGTTGTGGCGTGAGTAAAAGYAGGAAGCATATCCAAAGTGACAAAGAAACAAACARCTGGGGCATCGATCGCATGCGACAACACGGGTTCTGAATATAAAGAAAATAAAAGACAGATCAATCGATCGATCGATTCATCGATCRATCAATCAATCGATTTCCATGGCAGCGAGGAGATCATCCATCAACGCTACGTTGCCACGATTCTATTGCTTTGAGGGCTACGTACCGACCGATGTCCATGCATCCCCGTCGTCGTGGGTGATTTCCAGCATGTCTTCCAGTTCTTGCTCCAGGAATTCCATATAATTGAAAAAGAACTTGACTTTCTTGGTAGCATCTTCCTGCTCGTTGATGACTTCGAGGTCCCCGCCCTGGTAAACACCGGAAGTCCCGATTTCCTCAAGCCCCATGGAATCCACGGAATGYAGACAAAAGACGGCTTCCTGCCCACCCGCTTCTCCGCCGCGGTAGATCAGGTTGTCGAATATCCCGCCGCTGTTCTCTCCACTATTTTCGTCGACCTCCATCATTTCTCCGATGGCAAAGGGGGTTGGATTGTCGATTATGACACCCCGGATGACGTATTCATCGTTGTCGTCGATTCCCATAGAATAGATGAACAAGGCCGACTCCCGCAAGTAGTGGTGGAATTCTTCGGCCGGTGCCAAGAGCACCACCCCCGGACGGACAATCGCGTCGGGGCCTCTGCCTAGAAATCGAATGCCACCGCTGCTRCTTGTGTCGTTTTCGGAATCAGAGGAATACAGTCGGCTTTCTRTCGGTGTTGATGTGGTTCGGACAGCACCATCGACGCCGAGRCATTCTCTTCGATTGGYGACGSTTCGAGTACCGGGGYTTTGTCTACAGACTCGTTTCCCGGTGGCAAAGGATTCTACGCGACTTATTCTCGTTGAAACCAAAACAAACAGCAGCAGCAAGATATTGTGACACCGTAAAAATCTGTTGGAATAGAACCCCATGATATGTTTTGTAGCGATTTAATTGCTTTCGAAAAATGCAGTTATGAATCGTTGTAATATACAAGGTACCGCTTGATGTTGCACTACAAATCGATTGTTGTTACATGAACAATAAAGCAAACTGAAGACGAGAGAAGCACTATCTCCCATGCAGCGAAGAAGGACAGGACAGGATGAAATCCAAACATCATACCGAATTCATAGGCATCAAAATGCCAAACCAACATCGAAAATATTGGATTGG